GGATGAAGAAGAGCAACCTCCCGCAGGAAATCCGAAGGCGAAGGCGATGCCACATCCGAAACTGGTTCCGAAGGCACCACCACCGACATTGAGGCTTGTGTCAAGGGCTAAGCCAGCACCAAAGAATACATTGGATGAGGAGACAGAATCCGACAACAATCCTGGTGAACGACCTGCACATCCAAGGCGACCAGCGATGCGGACAACTCTCACATCCAACGATCGGTGGTCTACATCCGAAGAATCAGATACCGGCATCTACCTCCAGAGGATATCCGTACATCCAGCACCTTTCTGGAATTCTCGATTCCTCACCTTCGTGGCCGAATACTACAGGGAGTGCTCTACCGACAATACATGGACTTCATCAAGAAGGTCTACAGTATCTGCTGCTATACCAATGCTCAGCCGGAAGATTTCGGAACCGACATCATCCCGATGGTATGCCACAACCGCATGATTGATCTTGACAGGACCGTCCAGAATGTTGAGCAGGTTTGCTGCTTTTTCCACATGGATCCATCCAAGGCAAAACAGATCACCGACCTCATCCTCTGGCGAATCGAGCGATTGAGCAGATTGTTTTCCGGATGCTTTCGACATGATCCAAATCAGGGCACCCACAGAGAATGCCGACGACAAGTGGAAATGAATCCTGACGGATCCGTTGAGCTCTACGATGCATTGGGATGCATTACACATGCGAGGAACTTCATGGGCAATAAGCCAGGACTTTTCCTGATGACTATGTTCCCGGATTATGGAAAGGCACGTTTCGAGATTGCTTTTGTGTATCCATCCGTGGACGGGTCATACAAGGAAAGCAAGGACAAGGGATGCATTGTTCCAAGAAATCGATGGATCGACAACCTCACATCCAGATCCGCATATGATGATGCAACAGCGGTCATACTCGACAAGTCGATCTCCAATACTTTGGACGCCCCCTTTGGCCCGGACAGAAGCGTACCTCGTCAAGAAGAACCGGACTACAATCTTCCAACAGAATCCATTCCTCCAAGTCCGCATCCTTCAAGATCCGACGCGCCCCATGAAGATGAAGGCACAGCCCAGGCAAAATCCAGAATGAGAAGGCCGGCACCACCATCCATTGAAGAAGAGAGAATGATCAAGCCGTTCGCGAAGAAGCCCATCACGTTCATGTTCCAGGCAGCTGATCAGCATCATGGAGAACGGGCTCAAATCTGGGAAATCCCAGTCAAACCCTTCGGGGAGAGTGCACATCCACATGGCATGCATCGACGACGCTATCCTCGACGACGACGCGCCAGAAGCAGCATTGACACATGCGCCAACAGGAAGAGATGCATTGTTGATCCTTGCATTCCTCAAGGACCAGGACTACGGCATCCGACTCTCCGAAGAGCGAACAGCGTTGACAGGACAAACCATCGAGGCGAAGAATATTGTTGCAGCATTTGATCCTGATGGGAACATCATGATGAGCAACAACTGGATCATGAAGAAGTCTCTCACTCGTGAAGACGTTGAGATGTACGACACCAAGATCCAGGAATTCGCCGATGCCTTCTTCAACTATGTGAATACCGACCAACAAAGCAAGGAAAAATCGAAAAAGATACATCCACAGAGACCAAGAAGCGACGGCACTCCACCGATCAGGACGAAAATGATGAGGAGAACATGGAACCCTCCGGGGAGAGATCCGTCAAGCCGAAGGTCACCGTGGAGCATCACAATCCCGAGAACCTAGAAGAGTTCATCAAGGAATTCAAGGTGACATACCTTGAAATGGACATGACCAAGAAGGACGCCGAGGAAGAGCTCAAGGAGACCAAAAGGGACTTCACCCGCTTCATGGAGAAGTACGACAGGGATCCACAGAAGGCTCATTGTGAATTGAAAGAATGCGAGCGAGCTTCATTGGCACATGTCGATCCAGATGTCAACCCCGACATCAGAAGAATTCTATTTCCACCACCGAGAAGAATGGCCATCCATGGAAGAGTTCAGGAAGGCACAGCCAGCATCAGGATATCCGATCAAGCTTCCATTTGGATTGAAGAAGCTCAGGACATATGACAAACCAGAGGTCATCCAGGCATTTGCTGACACCCTGGGATCGCTGATGCAACCAACTGACCGGACTCCTGTGGACCATCTCAAGGCACATGAGTTCACCTCATCCATGACGAACAACATGCTCACCATGAACCACGGAAACCTTACGAGGAATCCAAAGCTGGACAACAAGGAGGTGAATAACATGGCGACGAAGGATCGACCAATCACGAGGATGATGATGCAGAACAGCGCGCACATCATGTGCGTAAATGAAGCAGACGCATTCCTCAGTCCTCAAGATGAGAAATCCAAGGACCTCATCAAGACGTTCATCCGGTTTGGATATAAGGGCATAGTTATCAAGCAATGGTCATCCAAACCAATCGCATGCTTTGTCCGCGGCGGACCTTCCGCAAGAGTGGAACTATTGGCACGACAAAAACTGGGGAACTACATTCGGTATGTTCAGATGCTTCTTCGGAAACGAGAACCATTGCACTGATGCCGAATACGACATCCCGACCTATGACTGCCTGGCAACCACAGGAACATCCATGTTCAGGGAATCCAAGAAATACATTGGACCGAGGTTGCCGCCACGCACACTTGTCCAAGGACATGGGCGCAACAAGGAAATTGTCGTCATCCACATCGAGCAAAGTGATGAATTTCGTGGCGTGTTTCCAAAGCATCCAATGATTCACTCCTCGAATTCGACACCGCCATGTGACGAGGGCAGACCGCCCATATGCTACCATTGGAGTTTTGCACATCCATCCATCAATCAGCCATGGAGCAGCACGGGACGATTTTCAAACCGAAATCATGCCGCTCGTGACATTGTACCAATGCGATGCGATCAGCGGAGACGCCAACAAGTCCGCGAACACCTACAGCAAACTCCAACAGGTCTACAATCCGGCCAACGGTCTCATGAATATCCTCATGAAGGCATACCAGAGATTGCGGAATGAAACGGACAACTTGCCACTCGTGGACAGAATGGAAAATGCAATGGAGACTTCCTGCACCCTGAAATCCATCGTCCGTCATCACCTCTACATGAAGACTGGATCCGGGTTTGATCGAACATTCCCAGATGTCATGACGACTTTCGTATTTGGATGGGGCAAGACAAACATGCAGCAGGATTTCCGGAAGGAAGAGATGGACGCAATGAAAGATGATCAACTGGACACCATGCGGAACGATCCTACGACTGCCATTTTCGACTATCAGGTCTCATCCGCGGAACGTTTCAAGCACGTGAACAACGAGATGTTCATGAATGGCTCTCAAGATTCCGATTCACACAGTCCGCTGATGGTCTACATCCGCAGCAGATCTGCCACCAAGCAGTGAAACTTTGAGCGATCCAAGGAGTACTTCAAGAAGAAGCAATCCTGGACTCAGCAAGAGTATAAGGAATACAACAAGCAGCACTGGGGCAATCAGAAGCAGTGGAAGGATTACAGCGACTCGACCTGGCAGGACTACGGAGACTACGGCAATCGGTGGAACCATTGACTATCTGATGAAGCTGCCACCTCTGGCATCCATTCGACCTCCTTTGGTCTGAGTGATCTGCCAAGGAAAGAAGTTTTTCTGAAGCTTGACTGAGAGAACACCCGAAATCGGCACTACGAATTTCAACCGAATTGATCCTCACCGCCAACAAGACTATTCAGTGAGAGATCAATAGTTTCACATCCGTCCCGCATGTACATAGCGTTGTACATCATCTTTTAGATACATCTAGGTATCTCACAGAATCAGTACAGACTGTTGCAAATCAAGACATTTCATCCGCGCCGAAAACAGGATGAATCCAGTCTTCCAATTGACAAGATATATCCATTATCTGTCACAAGTAATATACACATGGCTACGGCATAAATCAAGGCTACGGCCAAAGGCCAAGAAGCCAAAGATATTTCATGTCTAGTGCCGGCGATCAAAAGAAATGTGTGTCTGTTTTTGTGTCTGTGTTTGACCAATGTTGATCGCCCGCAACCATTTGGCTCAAGGCCCTTCTGTACCATAGCAATACTCATGATTGGGTGACAAAGCGTGACAAAGGAACCTTTGCAGGCCGCTTACAGGATCATACAACAATACAATCCACCAGGGACAATCCATCCTCCAAGCATCCATATTGGCATATTGGGCTCTCTCCGGAATAGATCCAGGGACCACATGAACGACTTCTACTACCACAGGGTACCAGTTCCCTTCTGGGATAGGTACCCCCGCAGTGGGCCTCAGGGGGAGGGGGGGGAGGGGGTTCGAGCGTGGCTAAAGCTGCACTTTGGTACGGTCATCTGTCTAAGGAACTTCTAAGGATGGCTCTAAAGATGAGCCCGTGCTTGGATGGGACCACTTTTCGCTTTCTGTCCTCTGGAGTCATGGATCCTACACTATTGCGTGACTGTGCAACTGATGCTACCAAACACGGCTGTAGCGCTCATGCTGTATTCTATTGTCCTTTACTCCTTCGAGGTGCGCTAGAAAAATTTGACAGCCTGAAGCCGCGGGAGCCGGCGGAACACGCCAACGGCGGTTAAATAGATACACAATATATATTATAAGCCCACCTGTCTATCTAACACTGCTGTTGCCTTTCTGTTTATCTGTCTAATCTGCCATTTATCTATCTTATCTCGCTACCCTTCTATCTATCCTCTTGATCCTCCCCCTGTACCATCTATATTTCTTTCTTTTCTCTTGGGTCTTTCTTTCTGTTCTTGCAGACCTGCGCCGGGCCTGCCACAAAATCTGCACCTGACCTTGCAGAAATGAAGGCTTCGACCCTTCTCAACCTGGGCCCCGCCCGACTCCATTGAGATGTCGTTGCAATGGAGGCTTCGACCCTTCCCAACCGGGCCCCAGCAACTTGCACAAGTTGGAAAATGGATGCAACCCGTCCCGGGACCCGGCCCAACCAGGAGCCCCACGTCCAAGTTCACCAGTGCCGGAAAGAGCGCAAGCTGCGGATACACTTCGATGGTGAAGTGCATGTGCAGCAGCGCCTCAAGAATTCTCGAGCGGGCCACGCAAAAAATTGGGGAGTCCAGTCCATTAGATTCTTACAAACCCCAAGGCCAAACTAACAATCGACATATGTTGACCCCATATGAATCAACCCCTGTTTATTATCCCAAGGGCCGCTCACAGGGATGTAGTTTTACAGCTCCTCTGTATTAATGGGGGGGTGTCCCTGGGTGCAATGTGGGGAATCAGCACTTTCGGGGTTGATTAATACGGGGTCAACATTAGTTGCTCGTCTCAAGAAAGTCCCTAAAATGGCAACAGTAACTGCGAGTACGTGTATATCACATCTGGGAACTTTGGTCTACCGAACATGGGATACTGGCGAGGAAGTTCGCCTTCATTTTCTTGATGTTTGTATAGGCTCTCTCAAAAGGCGGACCCGCTTTTCGGTGTGTGTGTGTGAAAAGGGAAACACGGAAACGACGTACGCGGTCCCTTTGGCCCCTAATTTCAGCGGACTCTCCAACCTCATTCTGCACGTTCGGCAGAAGGCTCACCTGGCTGTCCTCAGCGACTTTGTGAGTTCGCGAACAGGCGCGCCCTTTTTGAGGGTACTTCTTTTTGGGTGGTTTAAAGGAGATCCAAAAGGAAAACCATGATTTGAAGGGGCCCCCTTCAAAAAAGACATACCCAGAGGGTTCAAAATGAAAAGTTCCCGAACTCCGACTTTGGAATTCCGTTTCCAGCAACGAAAGCCATCGACAAAGCGCAGCCCTCCCCCCCCCCTCCCCCAAACGCGAACACCCGCGGCTGCCATACAATCAGAAAAATCAACTGTCGAACCTCACTTGAGGTTCCAATGAAACCATGGCAGGAATATCAACTTCGGAGTCCAGAGCATCAAACTCATCAGGGTTCCCCTTGCAATGGGAAGTGATTCATGTTGAGGGGGAATTCCTCGAATTGGTACGCTCCCTCCAACGAAGTGCACATTGCATGAACGACTATCCCCAGTCGGAAGTGAATACTTTTCGCCGCCAGAAACCCTCCCACCCCAGAGCTTCTCTGGCCAGCTAAGGATAAAAGTCCCCCATGGAAACTTCCCTCCCTTTTGACCGAAAACCAAAAGGCCGTCAAACCCTGAGGCCCGGGCCTTCAGCAAAAGCTCGCGCAGGTTCTTGCAACAGCTTCGCCATTGGGTGGTCAAATGCCCAGTCACCTGAGTCCCCGAGAGATCCGCCTTGGTCAATTCGAGGAACTGCCTTACCTGGGCCAGCGACCGATTGCTCAAGAATCATCATCAAAGTGAGTGAGCCACTCGTAATCGTCCTCCCAAAGTTGATGCCCTCGGATCCACTAAAAGGTTTTGTGTTTTCTCTTTTAATGGGGTAAATTAAAATCCACCCACCGTCACCAAACTAACTAAAAAGCTAAAACAAAAACCAAGGAACCGGATGGCTGGGGCTTGCCACCAAGTGCAGGTAACCCTCAACCCGTACAAAAGCAAATTGGAGTGGCGCCAGGCGCAAACTGCCTGCCCAAGTCACTACCTGAGAAAACATATGTTTGCACATATGCATATATATATATATACATATATATATATATATACACACATAGATGCATGTGTATATATATATATATGTATGTACATATGTATGTATATATCTATGTATATACGTATGTATGTTCCAGTCCCCAGGCCGCCTACCCCCCCAAGGGTAGGGTCCCCCCCGCATCATCTGCATCATGGGGATGATGCTGGCAGTACCATGTACCCTGCAGCTGCGGTCCCAGACTCCCACCCCTTTCACCCCACGAAGCCAACCCTAAACCAAGATACCCTAAACTAACCCTAAACACCAAACCTGAACCAACCAGAAGCCAACCCTAAACCAGCACAATCCCTAAACCAACCCACCCTACAACCCTTACCCTTAACCCCAACCCTATCCCTAAATCAACCACCCTACACCCACCGTAAACCCACGCCCCAACCACCCAACCACCCACCCAACCAGCAAAGGGGTTCACGGCCTGGCATATATATATATACAATACATATTATAGATAGATAAATAGATAGATAGATAGATAGATAGATAGATTGATAGATAAATGGATAGATTAGATAGATAGATAGATAGATAGATAGATAGATAGATAGATAGATAGATACATAGATAGATAGATAGATAGATAGATAGATAGATAGATAGATAGATAGATGGATGGATGGATGAATGGACAAGATTAGATTAGATTAGATTAGATTAGATTAGATTCGATTCGATTCGATTAGATTAGATAAGGTAGGTAGGTAGATAGATAGATAGATAGGTAAATAGATAGATAGATAGATAGGTAGATAGGTAGATAGGTAGATAGGTAGATAGAGATATAGATAGGAACTTTGAAACATGTCAAACTTTGAACGAAAACCTGAGTATTCCAGGGGGGGTGTCGTATATATATATATATATAGTATGTATGTGTCCCCCTTTGCCGCGTTGTCAACGCGCAGGGCGGGCAAGTGGAACATCAAGTAAGCGTGGCACATGCAACTTCAACAATACTAATATACTGCCTACAATACTAAAATACTGCTAACTTTGCCAGCCACACATGTTACCGCGGCACAGCTAAGTCGTGGCGTGCTGTGTGTGCAGCTTGCGCGCTTTTGACCAGATAGCGCCCTGTGCAGTCGTGGCTGTGCTTGTGTTTGATTAGGACGATTTGCAGCTGCTGCAACTGGGGCAAGTGTGGTTAGAGTGGACGCACAGCATCTTTGGCCAGCTCAACATTCGGCCTCAGTTTATAATTTCAAGGCGGCTAGACGCCATGGATGAAAGTGGGTTGCGCGCCTGGGACACTAGAAACCAAGCTAAGAAATCCCACATGGACAAACTTGCTGAAGATGTGCTTCAGTCGCTGGAAGGGAGAGAAGTCGCATTTGCGAGGCACGCTTGCTTGAATGGCCATGGATGCTGTAAACACGCAACCCAGATTCAAGAAATGATGCTCAAACAACGCACTCTTTATTGGACCTAAATTATAGCGTCGGTACTTAGTGCAATCCAGGATGTGCTAGCACGTGCTAGCACATATCAGTTTGACCGTCAGTTTGACCTAAGTCTGGATTTGAAGATTTCTAGAGAGGTGGTCTGAGAAATTTCAATATTCAATCTTCAATCCAGGATGTGCTAGCAGAATCTGGATTGCCCAAGTATGGATTCTAAGAAGGCGGACAAGCAGAGCACTACCCAAGAGTCAAATTGTGGATGTGCACCGCCTGCATTTTGCCAGGGGGAAACATGTGTTTAGAAAACTTTACAGTTTTTGTGGGACTTGAGGGCTGGTCAGGATGGACGGTTCTCAAAGACAAATTCGGAGATCTTCAATCTTCAATGCAGGTGGGAAAACCTTAGAGAGTCTAGAACAAACTGTCAAGCGTGCTAAAACAATATTCATCCAGGGCAACATGATCTGAGCGAATGCTGAAAACACCGCGTTCTCCCGCATTTATGCTAGTAGAAGCTCTACGTTTGAAAGCGCTTGTCTGTTACTGGTTTGGTTCAGTTCTTGATTGGTTAAAACCACATGGAGTTGGATAAGAACAATAACCCTTGTGAAATTGATCTTGATTCCAGCTGTGGTTGGCCATGACAATAGCTGTGTTCTCCAATTGACTTTTGTTTCACACAACAAACTGCAACCGGCTAAGGTTGAACTTGGCTTGAACTCGAAGTCAGTTTAACTTGCATAACTTGAATATCAATAGTGGTTCTTGACAGTGATTGAATCGTATTAGACAAGTAAGGCACAACTCAGATAGCTGCTTTACAAGTTTGCTTTAAACACACTTAGTTAGAATGTAAATGGAATTATGTGTTTACAAAACAAAAAATCATGTAAATGCAACTGTGCAAGGACGTGAAGCACTTTGATGCTTGATTTGGATGTCAGTCGCAAATAGGATTGAGTTCCTTTCCCCCAAGTGGATGATTTGCCGAGTTTCCTCGTCAAACAAACATAATAAAACCAAATAACTGTTACAGGCACGATGAAGCTGCCAAAGCATGCTTCGCGCGCTCTACTCTTGTGCTGAGAAGTTGTGCTTTTAGAGCTAGGCGTGCCAAAGTGCACTTCGCAAACTCCGATGTGACTTTAAGTGCACTTCACGTTCGAGCTGTTTAACTAGGAGCTCCTTTCGAAAGTTGAGCTTAACTTGCGTTGGTGTGACTTTGAGTTGAATTGCACGTCCTGTCAGTTCAGCGTCCCCCAGTCTAACCAAAATCGTGAGTTCTGGACAAAAACCTGAATATTTCAAACGGGGTAGTAGACTATATATATATATATATATATATGGCCGCCATTTCTTGTCTTCTGTGCCTGCAAGCAACCCACTACTTCTTGAAAACATCTTCTCCAACTGTAAGATACCAGGCAAGCTTGTCAAAAGGTAGGTTTTTTTTGGGGGGGGGGCTTAGCATATGTACATATACATATATATATATATATATAGTTAGTATACATACACAATAACGCCTAGATACACGTACATAGAGGCTATCCACAAAGATCTTCCAAACAGGGTATTGAATCCAGGCTGCCCTTTTTGAACGAGCGACTCCAACCAGCCCAGATAGCTTTTAGGTGTTTCTTTCCCTCCCAACCGCCTCCACTTCTTCAAGAAAAACTCCAGGGTGGGGCCTGGCTGCTGAAACCTTGAACCGGTACCTTGCGTGTGGACGAAATCCTGCACCACCTTGAAACCATGGTTGAAACCATGGTTTCTTGGAATGAATCTCATCAGAAACATCATTCCAGGTGGTCTGAACGAGTGCGAAATGGACTTTGCAACCATCCACAGAGTTACACATCAGTTCTGCCCATTGTGACCAGTCGGGTACCCTTTGCAAGCACTCCCCGGGCATGTTAACCTTTTTCCCGTCTTTTCTGTCTTTCTTTTTTTACGGGGCGCCCTACCTCTGGCTTTAAAACTAAAAGAACGCCTGCGAGCGGGTGGCAACCTTCAGCTGGCCGACGATCCGGGTCTCCTTCAGCTCCAACTCGTGCAGCGTCTCCAAGCTCTTGAGGCTCCGCAAATCCCCAGAGACGTTGGTGCGGGTGAGGACCAGCGTGCGCATCAATCTTGCAAGAGATGGGGACAGAAACAGCTTGGACGGAGGTTCCCGAATCAAGAGTTGAAATTCACTGGTTTCCATTGAAACGATCGCAGCAAACAAACAGGTTGGAAGGTGCTTGGAGCAGGGCCTTAGGGAAACACCGGTAGTAGACAATCTGAAGGACAGGGGTCACTGGATTTCCCCGAATCAAGAGTTGAAATTCACTGGTTTCCATTGAAACGATCGCAGCAAACAAACAGGTTGGAAGGTGCTTGGAGCAGGGCCTTAGGGAAACACCGGTAGTAGACAATCTGAAGGACAGGGGTCACTGGATTTCCCCGAATCAAGAGTTGAAATTCACTGGTTTCCATTGAAACGATCGCAGCAAACAAACAGGTTGGAAGGTGTTTGGAGCAGGGCCGTGCGGAAACACCGGTAGTAGACAATCTGAAGGACAGGGGTCACTGGATTTCCCGAATCACAAGCTGATCAGTTTACTGGTTTCCATTGAATCGATCGCCACAAACAAACAGGTGGAAAGGTGTTTGGGGCAGGGTTTTGAGGGAACACTGGTAGTAGACAATCTGCAGGACAGGGGTCACTGGATTTCCCGAATCAAAAGTTGATCAGCTTACTGGTTTCCATTGAATGGATCGCCACAAACAAACTGGTGGAAAGGTGCTTGGGGCAGGGCCTTACAGGTAAAACGGTATGAATTCAAGTAGACAATCTCAAGGACAGGGGTCACTGGATTTCCCGAATCAAAAGTTGATCATCTTACTGAAACGGTCGCCACTTTTGGAGGATCCACAAAGGGAAATTGAGGAAACCCAGTTGGAAGGTTGGAAAAAGGGAGCAAGAAGACAAACAATTGGTTCGAGAAAACACAAATGTTGGAAGAGAAAAAAAAAATCCTGTAGGAAGCTCCCCTGGTTGGCGCGAATAAAGTATCTAGCGCCCCCGCCCCAGCTGGGCTCACAAACAGGGCAGGGCGTGCTTAGGCTTAATTTAGGATGACTATACATTCAAATGATGTTTGGTAAGGACTTTCCAAGTACTGGAACTGAGCTGCGTTTGCACGCACAAATGCTATCTTTATATATAGATATGTATATACACAAAGCAATGCATCGCACATGAAAAGGCAATGAGAAAGCCGGAACCGCGAGAGCTGCCGCGCCGCGCGGACGCTCGGAGACAGGGCCCACTCTCGCCGCGCGCACTTCGCGAACCCGCCGGGGAAACCCTTTGCGAGCCTTCGTGGGGTTGAGCCTCAAAAACTGGTTGCTGCTGTTCCGTTTGTGTTTTTCACTTCTTTCACTCGCAGAACCTTCTGCGGACTCTCGGCGGGTCGACCTTTTTGAAGTTCGCTGTTTTGTTCTACTTTGGCCAACTTCCCTCAGGGCTTTCGTGGGGTCGACCCTCCAAAACGCTGTGATTTGCGAAGTCGCAAAGGTCAGCTTTGCGGCCTACCTCGAACTTGACAAATCGCAATTTTCGAGCCGGAACTGCGCTGCTTTCACACTCAAAAGGTTGTGACTTAAAGATTGTGACTTCCGATCGGCCCACCGAAAGTCCGCAAATGAAAATTTCAAAAGAATCACAAGTTTGAAAGCAGTACTCAAAGCAGCTCACCAACGGCAGCCCCTCCAACAGCCCCCGCATCCCGCGCAGCACTGCAAGCCGGAGTCCTGCTACACCACCCCAGCTCAGCAACGGCCCCTCGTCCCACGCCCAGCTCAGCAACGGTACCGTGCGTCCACAAGTTCTGCAACAGCACAAGTCTTTGCGTCCAGCTCACACTTTGCGCAACTGCACCCTGCAAGCTCAAAACGGCCCCCCTCCCCCACAGCTTGGCCCACGACCCCTCTTTACTTGAGACTGTCAGGTATGGGAAACGAGCCTGCCAACCGAATCGACCAAAGCCGCCTGAGGTGGCTGAGCAGCGCCAGTTCTCCCCACACACCTGAAGCGCCCTCCAGGTCCAGTCGCTCCAAATTGCGGAAGTGGCGCACAAAGTCCAAGCTTCCGGCCACCTGTTCTCAAAATGGGAAGTGGCCCCTCAGATGTTTTTCCAACAAAAAGTGCCACCCTTTTTGGCCGTCCTTGCCCCCGACGGCCCCAACATGGCAGGATGCGACCCAGTCAAGAGCCTTTTTATCGAAAGCCGGCTACAGTTCAATTCAGCCACTCACCTGCAAAACTAAGAGCTGGGAAAGCACCTTTGGCATAAACCGAAGGGGTTCTTAGATGGCCCACTTGAAGACCCCCCCTTAAAGATACCCCGGAGAAAAAGAAAGAGAAACAAGGCAGGACTGTCGACGGGAGAAAAGAAGCGCCGACTCTTCCACTAAACATCCTTCACAGGGATCACAATCAACATACTGAGTCGCAAATTAAAGCCTCGTACTTTGAAATCGGAGTCTTGGCCAACCCTACTCCCTGATATAATTGTGTATGGGGAAAACACTACACAGGGACCCCTTTCCTAACCACGTAAGGATTGGGAGGATTGCCTTCGAAAATGCGCAAGTTCGAGGAGCTTGACAAAGGGGTCCCCTCTTTTCTCAATGTTGATCGAAGTACTGAGTCATACCCAGAACACGGACATGTCTTCGTGCATGTCTTACACTTGGGGAACCAGAAAATGGTGGCTTTGCAGTTGTGTTCCCTTGAAACCGACCCCCAAGAAAAGTACCCTCGAAAAAAGAAGCACACATCGGCATGGCAAAGTCTAAAGTTTAACGGTGGCAAGGAACCGCCTCTGGGAGACGGAAGGGGCTCTGGCAGGTTCCAGTAAATCCTGCAACTTCTGGAGGTAACAAGTCAATGACTTCTGTGTGACCAGAACGTCAGAACGAAATTGGCAGTACCACCACTCCTAAGAGGAACATCTACCAAAAGAGTGTCGAAGCACCATTCCAGAAACTCCCAAATGTCGCCTTGCCAACGAATAAAGCGCCGATTCCAATCCCAGCGCCTGGGTTTTGTGCAGGTCCAAAGTTCGCAGGAGTTTGTACTCCCTCAAGGATGCCAGGTTGCCCTGCACCTCGCGATGTGGAAACTGTGACGAGCCACATGGCCTTTGACGTCCAAAAGAGTAAGGTTCATGGACTCACATCCATACTTTAACATGGCTATTCCAAGCTGGACAACCTTCAACATCATATCAATAGACAACTTCAGCCTTTAACACGTGATTCTCAGCTGAAAAAGCCTGTCATGTCAACCATTGACATGCTCATCCATTGATGTACACACACACACACACACACACATGCGTCCGCTAAGAACAACCGTTAGCCTCATTTCAACTTTCATGTCGATCCATCACCGTGAACACAAACCCCCAAGGCACATGATATCCAGATCTGTTTCCCTTCGGTCATGCCAAGTCCTGTAACATAGGCCCAAGCAACAGTGGCCTTCAGATGGCCTATCGAGGTCTTGGTCGAATCCTTTGCTCAAAAGGGGCACGGGTGTCCTTCCCTGTCCGGATCCCCCATTCCCCCCACTCCACGGATAAGCGGATTGCTTGATGCTGTGGTACGGAGAGTCGAAAACAACACAATTTCATTTGGCTGTAGGCACCCAAAATGGAACCCTGTGGGAAAAAGGACTAAAACCTGCGGTGCCCTTGTCTTTAACTCCATACCCATTGGGGAAACATAAAAAAACAAATAGCATGTACAGCATGTACAGGAATCCTTACATTATACACCTGAACATTGCCTTGTAAATGGTGGTTTCCCTTTATTTTGGTGGAAAAAGCCACCGCAGTATGCAGGCAAAAGGGAGCATAGTTTCCCAGCACGCCGGGGTATACCGCACACAGGACGGCAAGAGCAAACAACAAAAGAGCAAAAGCCCGAAACAGCGAACATCGAGCTCGACCAGGCAATCACGCCTTCACGGCACACGCTCACTAGCCACCCACGCGGATGACACGAGCACACCCAGCAACACTCCCCGCGAAGCCCACACCCACATGCCATGCCCGGAGCTATTTGGTCAACCAGCTCTCCGGCAACCTATGGCAAGGAGAGTGTTACCCTCATTTCTTTCGCAAGCGGATCGGGCGAATCGCCGAGCGTTGCCTGGGTGTTTCTGAGGTTCAGCTCCCGCAGCTCGGTCAAGCTACTCACGGAAGCCAGGTTGCCAGACACCCGAGTGTCCGCCAAATACAAGCTCTCGAGCGTCAGGTTGCTAAGGGATTCCAGATCCCCACACACCTCCACGCGTTGTTTTTTCCCAAATGCGCAGCAGAAGGTCGGGAGTCTGGGGGATAGGACATGACCAGAAGTCGTTGAATTTACGTCCCCAAGCGTTCGCAAGCGTCCGCAAGCGTTTGCAAGTGTTCGTACGTGTTCACGAGTGTCGCGCTCGCAGCTCCAGTGGGGAAAGCGAAAAACGCGCCATTTAGATGACTTGAAGCGTGTTATTTTTTGTGCCACTGTGCGAGAATCGTAGCTCTTAGCGTGTCAGACGTTGTTTTGCTGCGCAGGCGCAGTGTTTTGTGAAGGGTCACGTTTGCGTTGCAAATCCATTGTGATTCGCGTTTCAGGGGTCGTCGTTTTGAGGTGTTTTGATCTCGCTGTGGCGCGGTGCAACATTTTGAGATCGCACAGTGAAACTTTGCAGGGGTTGAATCGCTTTCGCTGTGGTGCGCAGCACATTTGAATCGCTTTCGCCGTGGTGCGCAGCACATTTTGAGATCGCGAAGTCGTGAGTAAAGACGTGACGAGAGAAATGCGAGTAGGGGACGGGAGATGCTGAGGCGCGTCGAGACACGTGATGAGAGATGTGATACAAGTTATGACGAGAGACGGGACCAGAGTTGCTACGACAGACGTGACAAAGGACGTGACCAAAGACGTGACAAGAGACGTGACCAGAGGCGTGACGATGGATGTGAGAAGAGGAGAGCCGTGACGAGAGACGTGACGATGATCGTGACGCGAGAGGTTGCCAGACACGGGACGGCAAATATGATAAAGACCAGAGACGTGTGAAAAGAGACGCGCCGATGGTTGCGACAAGAGACGTGACCAGAGACGTGACGCGAGGGCCGACGACTCCTCATGCGTGGCAAGAGACGTGACGAGAGTCGCCAAGAAAGACGCGGCCGAGGGGTGACGACTCACATGACAAGAGACATGACGGAGTCACCCAGAAAGACGTGATGGGAGATGTGACAGAGTCGTGATGAGAGGCGCGGCGAGACACATCGTATGATGATAAGGTTTGACGAAAGTCATGACGAGAAACGTGGCCAGAGTTGCTACGAGAGACGTGACAAATGACGTGACCAAAGCCGTGACTAGTGACCAGAGACGTGACTATAGAAACGTGACTAGATGTGACAACAGTCCACTTTCGTGTCCGCATTCGGGTTCGTGGCTTCTATCAGGCTCTTTTTTTCCGAGTCGGGAACATAAAGGGACCGGATTGTGACACGCACCCACCTGGAAGCTGGCCGAGACCAATTCCAATTGCCGCTTTTTCGCGGAAACAATAATTCGCAGAAGGGTTCAAAGGTCGAAACTTTTACAGCTTAGGGGAAACAAACATGTCGAAAAAAGAAATGTTGAACTGATGGCTCGGGGGAAACAATATTCAAGTTGGTTAAAGCATCGATAAGTTGATGGCCTAGGGGACAAACAGGTTCCAACAAGTTGGAACCGTTCATGAATTGACGGCTTAGGGGAAACAAACATGTCCAAAGGTCAAAATGCTCAAGAATGGATGGCCAAGGGGAACATTATTGTTCAAAAGGTTGACCTCCAAGAATAAGAACTCCCGATGAATCAACAGCCTCGGGGACTAAATCATGGTCCAGAAGGTGAAAGGCACCAAAGAACCACCATTTTCGGACACCCAAATTAGAGCCTCGTTTGGGTTTACGACTTGTGTCAAACGCCGAAGGTCCTGGGTGTTGGAGAGCGACAGAAATTCCAGGTTTGTCAGGTTGCTGAGGGATGCCAGGCTCCCTGACACCAACGTCCCGCTGAGCGCCACTTTGTGCAGCTTCCTGGGTGAATGATGCACGTGGGACAAGAATGGATGCCAAGTCTCGTTGCAAATCTGACAAGGCAACCTGAAATCGAGCAACTGCTTTGTAACCCAGGCGTCGTAAGGTTGCTCAAAGCCTTGATGTCGCCCGAGATTTGCGCGTTGCCTATAGATAGCCGCTCGAGCCCAAAGAAGACTTTGAGGCCCTCAATGGATCCCACCAGGTCTCGCCGTAGGGACTGGGTTGGTCCAAATGCTTGACATCATGAAACCTGCCCTGTAAATGGTGGCTTAAAGGGAAACCACCCCTAGAAGAAATTCCACAAACGCAGCCAATGCACCAACGCGGCGTGTCACGAAAGATCGCGCACGCTCTGCTGCTTGCACGCTTTCTGGGTCCGTTCTTTGCGCAAGTTCTACGCAGCCTTGCTTCGCGCGCTGCTTCTGCGCGCCTGCTGCGTACTTGTGAGTTTCGCCTATGTTTCTATCAGTTTTCTGTCTATCTATCCACCTGCGCTACTACCACCCCTAACTACCTACCTGCCTTGCCTACCTACCTACCTACCTACCTGCCGACTATCTATCTTTTTGTCTATCCTCTACCTGGCCATTTGGTAGACAATCTGCGCCAACATTATTCGCTGAAACTTCGACTTGTTTAGCTGTCTCTCTGTCTACCCATCCATCTATCTACCTACCCCATCTACCTACCTACCTATCTATCTGTCTGTCAGCACTACGCCTGTCACACACACACTCGGCATTTCATGCTTCAAAGCTCCACACCTGCCACAAAATTCAACGTGCAACCATCCAAAGTACTGCTCCTGTCTTTCACCGTTGTTTCATGCACCCGCTTTTCCACGAATTTCTCACGCGCCGATATTCCAACGTTATGTTCAGCACCGTTACCCCACCATGATTTCCAACACCGTTGCGCCACCGCTATTTCGAGCACCATTGTTCCACCACTTTCTATCACAGCACTCTACGGTTATTTCCAGCACCGCTACTCCAACGTCATTTCCAGCACCAGTGTTACATCGTTATTTCCAGCACCGTTACTCCACCGCTATTTCCAGCACCGCTATTCCAACGATACTTCTAACACCGTTGTTCCGCCGTTAGTTCAACCAACGTTCTTCTAGTTCTTCGTCCACCATTCTTTCCAGCACCGTTATTCCACCGTTCTTCAGCACCGTTACCCGTTACTCCACCAATATGTCCAGCACCATCATTCCACCGTTGTGTCAAGCACCCTTGTGTCAAGCACCGTTACACCGCCGTTACTTCCAGAACCGTTACTTCCAGCACCGTTGTTCCACCAGTTTATAGCACACGCAATCAGCGCCCCGTGCTCAAAAGCTCTGCGCGTCGCGAAAAGCAAGCATCCGACAACACACGCCTAATGTGTTGTGCCTTGAACTCCAACTTTCACACGCTTTCCTTCCACGCCGGGTGGCGCCAGAACAAGTTCACGCGTAAGTTCGGCACAACAAGGCCAACGAAGTTACCCTTGAGCAAACGTTGCATGCGCATTCCAAGTAAGACACCTCGAAACGAGCACCCCTATCACAACGGCGCGACGACATTAACGCGCGACCTTCCGAAACACTGCGACTGCGCGGCAAAACCGAAAGCTACGACTCATGCGCAGGGAAAACGAAAACAGAATTGTACAAGTCATAAAAATCACAAGCTCTGCTCCCCCAACGCTCGACACACCTGGCGACCAGACGCTGGGCCATTTCGCCGGCTAGCGCAGAAACAAGCCTCTGCCAAAAACTAAAACATGTGCCCCATGTGTGAATATATGTATGTATATATGTACATATTTATATATATATATATATTTACTACGCAGAGAGATATTCAAAAAAGATATAGATATGTCCCTCAAACAAGAAAGCTCGCCTAAAAAGGGCGGAAAATGAAGAATGTAAAGCATGCTCCAATCAAGAATTGAACAAATCAGCGACCAAGGCGCGTCTATCTCTTTCACGACGCAGCCATCGCAGAACACATAAGCACTGTCGCACACGTCCCAGTCGTTCCAGTCGACTTGTTCATTGATGAGCTTCTCCCAGGCAGCAACGACATCCGCGTCCCGTGGGCCTGCAGAGGCGTTCCATCGATCCATCTGCATACGTAGGTGCGCATATACATATACATCTGTGTATATGGTACCCTGTTAAACTCAAAGCGACTGTGTGAGAACAGATGTGACCTGTGGATACTTCACCCGTGGGTGTCAGCACGGCCGTGTAGCTCTTTTGTAACACCCACCCTTGGATTGATGTATCCCTACAACCAAACAGTTTATGTTCTAGCTGGTCGAAGTGATGTAAAAATTGCTATCAGCTACTGGGTGTTTCATCGCACAACTGTGCTTGCAATGGATCGAACATCTACACAAAACTGTACTCATCTGGCATGATGTCTGACAGGTGTGTCTGCACCGATTGCGCTCAAAAATCCAGTGTGTGGCCCAGGTTGTGTAGCATCCCGCGTTGCGACGCTCATGCGCATACACCGCGTAGTTCAGGCTGAGGTCTCTCCTTGGCGTCACCCACTGTAGTACAGTTTGCGATCATGTAATCCCTGATGTGGCTGCGTGTATTCACTGCACATGGACCGAGTCCTCTTCATGAATTGTCACGGTGGACACAAGGCTGCGGTCGTTCAACGTGGTGAGGCACTTCCTCTACGCCTGATGCTGTACCTCAAAGTGGTCCAAGCGCACAAACAGGATGCACAAAATGTTCTTGTTCATCGATGTATCCATACCTTGCGCAAACAGCCATGCCATGCACGCAATCTGTAGCACTTGTCTGGAGCATCTGTTGTTTGGCACTTGTCCTCAAGCGTGTTCGTTGTACCATGTTTGAGTCTGACGATTCTTCTTCTGTAGTCCTCAAGTTGTTCTGCCGCGACTGGGCACTGCGTTCGTAGTGGTGTCAAAAAGCGTCTTCCTGTATTGTTTGTGCGCTCTGAAAAGTTGACCTTGCGGTGTAAGCTTCGTGGTCGGCGCTATCATGCCAATCTGTCCTAGCTGTGCGCTTTGTACAGGCCATCTCTGTTCTCCAACGTGCTGTTGAATCCTTTGATGCGCTGCAATCTTGGATTGTCATCCAATGTAGGATGGAAACCTTGTTCCACCGGCCTAGTAACTAAAGACTTGGCTGTTGAATCTCACAAACGTAAAGCGGTATGACAATCTGTTGCCCGTTGTGGTTTTTCACGCAAACCCATCTGACCCATAGAGCTTCATGTACTGATTGGGTTCTAAGCTATGGTCCTGTTCCATGCTCAAGTTGGCATGGCGGGAATTGTAACGCAAACCATGGTGGGCACACATGTGTAGCCGCACCACAATCATGGCAAGCGTTACTTCTTGGAACCCTGAGATGGGTACTGCTGATGAATCTGCTAGCTGTGGTGCGCTTGACTGTACCAGCATTGTTTGGCCATATGTCCTGGCTGTCCACATCTGTACCAAACATTTGTCGCTTGCTTTCCTTTTGCTCCTTTTCCTCTTTGTTGGTTGTTGTAGTATCCTTTGCCGTTTTCTTTGTTGCTGTATCCTTTTCCTTTGCCATACCCTTGTTGTCCTTTGAAAGGATTTCCTTGTCAGTTGTTGTAGCTGTAGTTGTTCCCGTAGCCGCCATGCCTTTGCCTTTGTTACGCTTTCCTTTGCCCTTGCGCTTGCCCTTCTTTCCTTTGCCCTTTTTGTACCATGTTGCTCCTAGGTCCATTGGTGCTGGTCCTTGATTGTTGTTGCCTGATGCGATTGCTTGTAATCTGGTGACCGAGGCCGTCGCCCTGTAGCCCTCGACCACCATTGATCTGATCTGCGCATATGTTGCGCTACCAAACGCATGTGTGTTGTTGTCCAGTTCGCACTTTGAGAGTTGGAGCTCCCATGTTGTGAAAACTCTGTTCGTTCAGTTGTGGTTCTAGCAGCCGTGTACCCAATGCTTCTTGCACCAAGAAGTATGGAGCACCTGGCACGCGTCAGCCGCCATGTCTCGAAACCGTTGCATGTCTTCTCTGCAGATACGCTGGACCATCGCATGCGTCACCAAGAGGTACTGCAGGTTGTTGCTCAATTATATCCATTGTTCTGCCACTTGTTGTGAAGGTGCTGCATTCTTGGTCGTTCGCACCTTGTCCTGTTGATTGCTCTGACTGTCTCAGCAGTCTGTTGTATGCGGGGTGTTGTGGTCCAAGGTATGCTGTCATCTTGTATTTCCATTCCTCAAAGGTGCTGTATTCTGCTGTGAACCGTGGGTGATATCTTGTACTTGTGAACTCCTTCCGCTCCTGTAACTGTTGCTGTGGTTGGGCCGCCATGTCTGTGTAGCTGAACCTGTAGGTGCGTGTTGGAGCTCACCCTGGGTGGTGCGCGAGGATCGTGTACCAGCGGTCACTGCTCCGCTATCATGTTAAACTCAAAGTGACTGTGTGAACTGATGATTGACCTGTGAGTGTCAGCACGGCCGTGTAGCTCTTTTGTACTCGGGCAATTGTCCATAGGCTGTGATAGGCTCGAGGCCTTGATGTACAAAGGGGCAATGCAATGTACAAAGGTGATTGTATCTTAACATACCCCCATACCCCCCCCCACCATTTTTCAGAATTCACTGATTTCCAGTGAATTTAGCCTTTGTTTGCGGGTCTGAAGAAGACACCAAAATGGCTCCTCCAAGGGCAATTTCTCTGGACAGTTCATGCTCTGGACAAACCCTCAAAATCAGAAATAAACACAAACCCAGACTCCCTGAGAAAAAGGTTGCTGGCAAACATTCTCTATGTTGTGTCATTCACTAGTTGAAATGTGTATTGAAACGGGGTTAGGAATCTAGTTTGTTTATCTGGAATTTATATCAGTCTTTATAAGAATACCATCATATTCATCAGGAAGTAGGATTGCTTTCCTACCATCTTAATTTTTGTATGCCTGGCTTGTTTGGAGGATTTCGTTTTTTGTTGCACCTATCGTGGAGCTCCAGAAGTCGTATATCCTAGAGTCAACAATCGTTCTATCAAATTGTGTTGCTTTCATATATATATATATATATTCCTATTCAATCTCAGAATTTGGAGGTTGTACAGGATGGACATGATACCCGCCATCATCCACTTCTTTTGTGAAAACGTTCAAGTCTGAAAAAGACGCCAAAAGGAGCAATTCCAAGGACAATTACTCTGGAAGGTTCATGCTCTGGACAACCCTTAAACCCGAAAATAGAAACGAACAACCCAGACTCTCTGTCGGAAAGGTAGCCGGAAACTGGCAAAAAGCACAAACCAACATGTACTTTTCTGAGGGCTCATCTAGCAAAACCAAATCTGCAAAGCAGCCTTCAGGTCTCAAGTTCAATCCGTCTGACTTCCTATCTTGTTATTCCACTATATCATTTCATTCAGTAATCAAAACAACGCAATCATAAATCATCAAGGCCTCGGAATCCAGGATGCCCTGCAGAGGTTCAAGTATCACATGATACATATTATGTTGTAGCACATGTTCATGTTGTGCTCTCTTTAGGAGCTATAACTGCTATCTCCTCTGATATCATCTTTAATGCAGAAAAGATTGTTGGTACTGATAATCTATTATTTTCAGTCTCTCTCTCTCTATCTCTCTCTTTATCAGTGTAATTCAGCATTTATTGCTATTATTCTTACCTTTTCTCCTGTGAATTTCTTACGATTTAAGGGTACGCCAAGAAGAATCCTTTCCAGACTCTGTTCATCTCCCCCACAGGTCGAAAAGGTGGGTTGAAAAGGGGGGGTGGTTTGGGCAATCTGGAAGCTTGATTTGGGATGCGTTTTGGGAACGCCCTCGCTTTGGAGTGGTTTTAGGGTTTGCTCGCCTGGTTTGGTCTTTGTTGGCTTGCCTGCTCATCGAAGGCAGTTTAGAAGGAACTACCGTGGAATAGAAGACTAAAGAAAACATGCATGAGAAAAGGAATGGACATATCCAACAAGTGCGAAGCGAACCCGAAGCGACACAGCGGTCCAGGTGGTCGACCCACCCAACGTGCGCAGAGGGTGCGGAAATTCGGAAAGGGGGGGTGGGGGCAAGAGGGAGGAGAGCGGGACCCTATACACATGCGCCGTATTCTTGTTTATGCACAAGCCCGTGACTATGTCGGCTCTTTTGAAAGTTCCCATTGTCAAGCGATAAGTAATCTATAATTGCTTATCAAGTCGAGCTTGCTGCCGAGATAGCAAGGAAGTCCCTGCAGCTTACGTAAAATTATGGCTTGTGTAGTAGTATTCAGAGAATTCGCGGACAAGGGGGAGGGCCTCAAAATATTTGGTTGGTACATCAGGGGAAACCAAGAGGAAACCAACCATTTGTTGAGCCATTTCCACAAACACCGATAATAGACTTGCAGTTGCCAAGAAGAGGCCAAGCTCTTCCCGAACTCGGAAGGGATCGCACCAGACCCCTGTTTGAGCCATGGGTCGATTCCAAGTGACACGATCGGCAACTTCCGGTTGCTAGGCGAGTTGCAACTCTCCTCTTCCTCGTCTGCAAAAGGAGACCAGTCCGCTTCAACTGGGTCTGCACGCAGGGACGCCTCAGTTCCACCCAGGCAAGCAGAAACAGTTGGACAACCACGTGGTCTGCCTGGGGAGTTTGGAAAAACAAAGCAGGCATGAGCAGTTGAATCACTCATACTTTCCCGCAAAGCCCTTTGGTTTGGAGTGGGCATAATCTTGGATAGTCCCACCTTTTACCAGGAGCATCTCTTCCATCCCCGCCTTTCAGTCTGCGTGTTTGTCCGAAACGAGATTGACGGGGGAAGTCGGAAACATGACAGTGCCTCAAAAAGATGGTTTGGATTGGTTTGGAGGTTAGGGGGTGATTTCCCTCTACAAGAACCAGGAGATCAATCCCGAAACCAACAATCCAATCCACTACTTGAGGATTACCTGAATGAGATAGGGATCTAAAATAGCGTGGAATTCGCGTGAGGTCGCTTTGCTATCCCTGCTATCTGAAGCATCACTGTGCTGCTAAAGCCCCTTGGTTTCAGACAGGATTTCTCAGGCAAGCGCTGGATTTCACTTGGAACTGCAAAAAAAAACTGTGGCCCCCACAATACAAATGAAATTGAGGGTTTA